TCATCTACTGATGGACACTTAAGCTGTTTGCATATCTAGTCTATTGAAAATAATGCTGCAATGAACACAGGGGTACAGATATCTTTTCAAATTTTCGTTTTCAATGGATAAATACCCAGAAGTGGAACTGCTGAATCATAAGGCAGTTCTACTTGTAGCTTTTCGAGGAAGCTCCAGACTGTTTTCCACACTGGTTGCCCCAATTTACATTCCCAACAGGGCATGAGGGTTCCTTCTCTTCTATATTGTCACCAACATTTATTGTCTTTTTGATAACAGCCATTCTAATATGTGTGAAGGGATATCTCACTGTGGTTTTGATTTGCATTTCCCTGATGATCAGTGATATTGAGCATCTTTTCATGTACCTGCTGCCCATCCAATGTCTTCTTTGAAAAAAATATTTATTCAAATTTTCTGCCCCCCTTTTAATATTTTTCTTGCTATTGAGTTGTATGAGCTTTTTATATATCTTGGATATTAACCTCTTATCAGAGATATGAGTTGCAAATATTTTCTTCCCTTCAGTAGTTTGCCTTTTCATTTTGCTGATGATTTCCTTTGCTGTGCAGAAGCTTTTTAGTTTAATGTAGTTCCTTTTTTTTTTTTTTTGCTTTTGTTGCCCTTGCTTTTGGAATTCAGATCCAAAAAATAATCGCTCAGACCACCTATACTTTCTTGTAGAACTCTTATGGATCCAGATCTTACATTCAAGTCTTTAGTCCATTTTGAGTTAATTTTTGTGTATGCTGTAGAGGTAGTGGTCCAGTTTCATTCTTTTGCATGTAGCTGTCCAGTTTTCCTCACACCATTTGTTGAAGAGACTGTGTCATTGTATATTCTTGGCTGCTCTATCATAAATTGACCATATACGCATGGATGTATTTCTGGGCTCTCTATTCTAGTCCACTGATCTATGTGTTTGCTTTTATATTAAGACCATAATGTTTTGATTAGTATAGCTTGGTAATATAGATTGAAATCGGGGAGCACGATGCCTCTGGCTTTGTTCTTTCTCAGGATTGATTTGGCTATCCAGACAGGATCTTTTGTGGTTCCATACATATTTTAAAATTAGGTTCTATTTCTATGAAAAATACACTTGGAATCTTGATAGGGTTTCCCCTGAATCCGTAGATTGCTTTGTGCAGTAGAGGTATTTTAAAAACATTAATTCTTCCAACCCAATTCAAAACCAGCTCTGTAAGATATCAAAGTCGTATAACATTTCTGCAACTAAGACCCTCTTTTAGCATCACCATTTGAGCACCCACTGTCTGCTAGAAGCTCTATTTTTTTTAATGTTTTCAGCAGCTCGTCAAGATTATCCTCCTTTTAGATGAGGGAAAGGAGGATCAAGGATTTAAGTGATTTTGCTCAAGAGCTTAAGCCTGTATGTTTTTAGCATTTGAACCCAAGATTTTCTATTAACTCCTAAACTTACACTCCCTCTACTGTACCGCTACTCTGCCGTACCTAGTATCTAGCACCAACTGATATGGTCGATAACACGCACAGCTAACCCTGGAACTATATAGGTTTGAACTGCACAGGTCCACTTGTAAGTGGATTTTTTTCTATTACAACAGTACAGTATTGTAAATGGATTTTCTTTTCCTTATGATTTTCTTAGTAACATCTTTTCTCTAATTTACTGTAAGAATACAGTATACATACACATAATATAAAAAATACATGTTAACTGTTTATATTATTGGTAAGGCTTCTAATCAAGGCTCTCAGTAGTTAAGTTTGGGGGAGCCAAACGTTCTAAGTGCATTTGACTGTGTGGGGGTCAGCGTCCCTAACCGCTGCACTGTTTCAAGGGTCAACTGCAATTAAAATGGAAACGCACACAACTATTAAACCATATATTTGTTATCGCTTCTTGGCCTTTTGGCTAAGATCAAGGGTAAACTATATATTTGTTTACATTTGTAAGCTATTCCACTGAGGCTGAAACACTATATGCCTGCAAGAGACTTAGGAATGATTCCAGTAACACCATCTGGAGACACACTGTCTCGCCATACAACTATTCTAGGCAATTAGGACAAGGACTCAGGGTTTCCTCAATTCTTATTTGCCAAAGATCATAAAAATATGTATATGGAAATTACCTAGCACAAATCAACGGGCATAATACGTGGCTTACATTATTATACAAAACGTGTCAATGTATTCTAAGATACGGACAACAAGCATACGAAGTAATTTTAACTCATCCAAAGATATATGATAGTTATAATAGATTTACCAAGTAATTTTGTACCCTGCCTTAGAATTTAAAGAAACATCTTAGCATTGTTTCAAATAGCCTTTTTCTTTAAATCAAAAACCAAGAGCTATTTAATGAAGTTTAAACCAATGCATAACTTTTAAGTACCACACAAAGCTTTCTGGTTATATTAGAAGAAAGAAGAAATGCTGAACTGAGACTCTCCCATCAGATCATGCTGACTTTTAACTTTAGAGAAAACAGTAACTTAAACCTACAAGTCATATAAATGTGGCCTTGCTCTTATGACTTTCAGATCATAACCAAAGAAACCAAAATGTAGTAGATACTGTCTACAGGCATTCAATATTTACTCCCACCCCCACTGTCTCCTTCCCTATATTACAGAGACTATAAGGCTAAAAGCTCATTTCTCAGGTCTCTTGCCATGGAATTTAATTTTTCTTCTTTCTGTATCTATATTCATTTTATCTCTTTTTTTGCTTTATTGCACTGACTAGGACAATTCTGAGTAAGAACAGTAAGTGACCATCCTTCCTTATTCCCAGTATGAGGCAAAAACATTAAGTCTTTCACCAATAATTGTAATTACTAGCTGTAGGTCTTTCATAGATACCTCTTATCAAGTTGAGAAAGCTCCTACTTTTCTGAGTTTTTATCATGAATAAATTAGGTCTATTGTCAAATGCTCTTTCTACACCTAGTGAGATGATCATACAGGTTTGAAGAATTCTGTGTAGTTTGTTGATATTGATTGAATTACATAATTGATCTTCAAAAGAAGAACCAATGGCACTTTAGCATGATGTATTATACTTTTTATATAAACTTTATTCAGGTTGCTAGTATTCTGAGAAATACCTTTTTTTAATATCAGAGTAATAATGGCATCCTAAAATAAATTAGTGTTCCTTCTATTTTCTGAAGATTTTGTATATAATTGGCTTTACTTCTTTCTTAGTTAAGTTGGTAGAATTCACCAGTGAGTCCAATTGGGCTTTGAGGGTTTTTTGGGGGAAGAGAGGGGTTAACTACAAATTCAACTTCTTGAATAAAGAGCTATGCATGTTATCCATTCCTTCTAAAAGGATTTTTAGAATATGATATTTAATTTCAAAATATTTGGAGATTTCACAGATAATATGATACCGACTTCTAGCTTAGTTTCAATAAGGTAAAAAAAAAAAAAAAAAGACATATTCCTGAAAAATTACCTATAAAGGGAAAGCATGGAAATCAAGTTAAATACCTTGTGACTTTGATGAAATCTGTCCATATATCTAAGTTATCATAATATTCCCTTGAGCTTCCTTTTGTAGAATCTATATTGATGGTCTCTCTTTTCTGATATTAGGAATTTTTGCTTTCTCTTTTTTTCCCTGATTAGTACAACTACAAGTAGATCAATTTTTATTGATCTCAAAAAGAAACTCAGCTTTTGGTTTCATTGATCTTTTTTCCTACAGTTTTTCTATTTTCTGTTTCAATGATTTCTGCTCATATCTTTGATAACTTCTTCTCTGCTTGTTCTGAGTTTAATTTGCTCTTTGCCCTCTAATTTCTTAAGGTAAAGGTTTAGATTGTTGTTTCAAAGCTTCTGTTTCCTATTATAAGCATTCAACACTATAAATTTCCCCTGGAAGTACTGCTTTAGGTGAATCCCATAAATTTGGATATGTTGTATTTTCATTTTCATTCAATTCAAAATATTTTCTAATTTCCCTTGTGACTTCCTCTTTGACCCATGGGACTTTCAGAATGTGATATTTAATTTCAAAATGTTTGGAGATTTCAAAGATATCTGATAATGATTTCTGGCTTAGTTTCATTATAGTCAAGAAATACAGATATATTCCTGAAAAGTTAGCTGGAAAGGGAAAGTATGAAAACAAAATTCAAATTTCTGATAGTAAATTAATGAAATGATTTGTCTACGAAGTGAGACAGAATTGAAGATCAAGTCTTCCAGCATCCTTTCCTCTAAAGGATATTAAGAGCATTATGTTCTCTCTAAAGCCCATCTCAAAATCAACAGACTTGTTATTTTCCTTCTACCCTTCCAAAAAAAATTAATAAATGAAAGGAAGAAAAAGACAATTTCACATAGATCATCTCATTTGATTTTTACAACTCTATAAAACAAATGATAAACATTTTGTACATGGAAATGAAGCTCAAAGGAGTAACTCGTCTTACTGGTTGGCCATATTTCATTACTCTTGAATTATCCCTTGAAGATAAAGCTAATATAGATCATTTAAATCTCTAAATAATTCAAAACCTCATTTCAGCCCCTGTTGGAATCAACACCACCTCAGTTCAGAGTAAGTTGTAGTAAAATCCAACGAGGTTTAAGTTTTATCATCTTGACTGCTCATATCCATTCATTATTAACAAAAATCAGATAATAAAAAACTAAAGCCTAGGGATAAAAAGTAAATGGGAAAAATATGAGGAAGGAAAAATGAGACCCCAGTTTAATAAGTCATAAACTATATAGCCACTTTTGTTTTTCACACAAAAATTAATATGAAATGAATATATCAAGTTACATTTTTTCTCTTTCAAATTCTTGAACTGTTGATTAGGAGTTAAAACTCTAAAATATTATCTGCTATTAATATTTATAGATTAAAATATATTAATATGTAATATTTTGAAATATTAAACTATTTTATAGTATTCCATTTCAAATTAAAATTCTGAACTACAATGTTAAAGAAATTAATTGGCTTTAAGGGTAAGAGGTACACATCCTTACCGTATAACTGCTGACTTATGGGTTACAGAAATTCCCCTCAGGCAGCATCACCACTTTGGCTCAGGTATCAATAGTACAGCAATCAAAATTAAAACTGAAAAAAAAATTAAATAACAGTAAGTAAAAAGCATTCAAGTCTTCATAAAAGTCTTAAATTCAAATTTCACATTTAAACGATTTCATCAAGGGAGTTCTAGTCCCAGAACTAGTTTTTTTAATTAGTTTAAGCCAGGAGCTAATAAGGTATGTGAATTCCTGTATAATTCCAACTCCCTATCCTGGAATGAGCTCTGAAATTAACATCAAGAAATCAGAGTAAATAGCTTAGGGGCAGAAAAACAAAAAGCCAAGCATATTACAGGTATATTCAACTGAATAGCTCAGTTCATAGATTCAACACACATACATTTAAGGTTTTAGTACTGCCCACAATGAACTGAACATTGATGATTCACACAAGAACTCTATCAGACAAGAGCTTCTGTACCAATTTTTCACACAAAAATATTAGATTCAGGGGCGCCTGAAGTTAAATACAGGTGGTGCAGTTGGTCAAGCGTGGACTCTTTGTTTCGGCTCAGGTCATGATCTCAGGGTCCTGAGATTGAGCCCTGGCATCAGGCTCTGGGCTCCCCAGAAAGTCTACTTAATGACTCTTTCTCTCTCCCCCTATTCCACACCACCCCCCAAATAAACAATAAATCTTTTTTAAAAATCTGTTTAAATTCAATAAAAATCTCGGTGATCCCTTTCTAAAGACTTTAATAGAATGTATGCAGATAAAGCAGTATCAAAGATTTAATACCTGCTGAATCTACCCTAAGAAGTGCTTCCAGAATACCAGATATTCATAACAACAAGACTCTAGATCAATCTGATATTGTTTATAAATGCTCTGGAGCTAGGCGGTACCAGAAAGGATGATAGAGTTCCCTACCCAGAGTTATGGCTCACTTAGGAAGAATACGCAGAAGAAAAATTTGGTGACCATTGTTCGTTAATTCAGCAGAAGTTTACCAAGCCATCTTGTATGAGTAAGTCTCCCCATTGTAAGGCAACAATGCAGACACAAAAATGAGTAAGAAAATGCCTGCTCATCAGAGAACTCACAGTCCTGTGATGGTGACCAATGCCTGCCAGTAATTATAATACAATAAGGTAGCTGTGTGAAAGCAAGAGCGAGGCGGTGGAGTGGGATACATCCAACAGTCTCGAGGGACAAGGAGCAGGGAGGAATGAGGCCAGGCAAAGGCCATGCAGGCACAGAAAGGGAGCTGTGTACAATTACCGAAAGGGAAAGCAACTTTGAGTCTCCCGAAGAGGAGTCTCTGGATATGCATGAATTATACGTAGGCCGGTTGGATGAGAACATACACAGCTGAGACTGTCACTATCATTTTGAAAGTAGGGGAAAAAACAGATCATTCAATGATCCTCTAATCTACACACGTCCCACGAGTTTGCTTATTTAAAATTAAAAGCAGCACCTAATTTTCTTCCCCTTCCTTAGGAGCAGCTGTAGAGCATGCTCTTGATTATGCACAGTAAAAGAAAAGTGAGTTTTTCCTAAGTAATTTGCATTAGTGATCACCTTATTTCCAAACAGAGAATCAGCCCTAGGTTTCTGATTCTCCGGGCCCAATTTTAACCTCTACCAGATCACCTTATCTGCATGATTCTGAAAGCAACTAGCCCGGTACATTCCACGTTAGACATGGTCTGTCTAGCTAACTGTGGAGGAAAGGGTCCGATGCGCATGTTTTCAGGATGACCATCTGTTTAGCAATCATGTCAATTCTTCCTTTGGGAAATACAACTGTGAGTTTTCCCACTTGCCTAAAATGCTATGTACTATTAATTTGGTAACAGCTATCACTTGGTGATAGCTTTAATCAGGATTAAGCACAGCGCTCACATGTCACATACATTTTAACTTAATCCTCACAACCCAGGTAATATCCATCTCCATCAAAAAACGAGGAAACCAAGGACCAGAAGGTGACATGCCCAGGATGACAGAGCCTGGAGGAAGCAGGGTCAGGATCGGTCTGTCTGGCTGCGGTCACTCTTCTGTATGAGCCACCTTCTGGACATGTAGACGTGCATTTTTCTTTCCTGCTCGGCTGCTCCCATGCCTTACTTAAGTCAGGAACCATAACAGTCTTGAAGAATCAACTAGACTTTGTGAGTGTGGTGCTTAATTTTACAGGGTAGAGCATATCTTTAACTCCTCTGAAGCTACAGTTTAAGGTTATTAAGTGTGAAATCCAGCACCTCTACTTAGAGGTGTCAGGGAAACACATTTATATGCAACACCAGAACTGAAATTCTATTCATGTCCCATGGTTAAGCTCTGGATGGTGCTGAAAATGCTTCTCTGTGGCCGTGGTCTAAGAGCACGGTTGCCCTGTCACTTCCTACCACCGGGCCCACATCCATGATGCTTCCGCAGCATGAAGGCCTTCTTCTCGATTCCATGCATCCCTGTTGTGCCTAGCCTTCAGAATGCAACCAATACAGCCTCCTCCCCCCCATCCATTCAGCTCTTTATCTGCTCAATAAACACTTATTTATTGTAGTGATGTGTCAGGCACGGTGTGTGTCCCCACCCTGGAAGATCAAAGCCCAGTCCTACAACAGCAACAACCTCTTGGTCCACCAGAAGAAAAGCGTACAAACAAGGAATTAGTATTCAGTGAGATAAAGGCATATACATGGTATTAAGAGACCACAAGGGAGGGAGCGGAGCCACTGAGGGGAGGGAGTGGCAGGAAAGACATCACAGCCGTGGTAACATAGGTGCCTTAATTCAGAGGACAGATGATGATGACCTAAAATAAGATAGGAGAATTTTTTAAAGGGAACAAACCTTAGAGACATAGGTGGTGGGTGATGAAGTCGATGGGATGCTAGGTAATGTCTCTCAGAAGACAGAGTACTGTCCGGCAATAATGGATGTGTTTTATAGACCAACACCATCCAAAATGGCAGCCTCCAGCTGCACAGAGCACTTGACTGAGCACTTGTAATGTGGCTAGTGTGGCTGAGAAACTGAATTTTTAATTTTATTTCATTTTAATGAATGTTAATTTAAATAGCAACACATGACTAACAGCTACTGTGCCGAACAGTGCAGTTCTTAACAATTCAGGCTTGAGACACTGAGTTGAGGGGTTATTACCAGTATCTGGGGAAAGGAATACCAAGAGAAAGGTATATGAACACTCAAGTATTTGCTGAATAGATGAATGAACAAGCCAATGAACAGAGGTACAAACTGGATGATCTGTAAGGACTCCTCCCCCTAAAATTCCATTCAGGGGCGCTAGGTGGCTCAGTCGGTTAAGCATCTGCCTTTGGCTCAGGTCATGATCCACGGTCCTGAGATTGAGTCCAGCATTGGGCTCCCTGCTTAGTGGGGAGTCTGCTTCTCCCTCTCCTCTGCCTTGCTTGTGCTCTCACTTTCGCTCTTTCTCAAATAAATAAAATCTTAGAAAATAAAAAAATAGAACAAAGTTCCCTTCCAAGAGGTACTTATCCCTGCTCCTTCAGGTTTTCAACACTACTTTCAATATGAGGGAATCAGACCGCAGCCTAATTCTTAAAATACTGCTAAAATTGAAATTCCTTATGCTATTCAGTGTAAAAAGCAAGAAAAGAAAAAATGGTACCATAACATTATTGCAAGGAATAATCACAGAGCAAGAATAATCAAGCCAGGGTAAGTAACTCTCTAGGGAAATGTGTCCAAACACATTTATGGATGAGGACCAAACGGCTTTATGATGAGCTCCGGTCATTACAAATCTATTACAGCCCATTCACCTCCTAAGCAGTTCAGCTGATGTTCAATTTACATTCCTCTACACTCTGCTGAGAGGAATAACTGAATTTAATATCACAAAACACCTAATTTTGTTCTCCAGAGCATTTTTAAAAGGTCAATGATAATAAAGTTGTCCCCAGTAATATGCCCCTTTATCTTAGTTATCCACAACATCCAAGTCAATGTGAGATAAATAACTCTGGGACACGAAAATGTTTAACCTGAGAACAGGTTGTGTCCAAATGAGTCCCTGTTAATCTGCCAAGGTTATCCTAATCTGATTGTACAAGGCTTTGTTTACTATTTTGGTCCTTGCCATCCCCTTACAGCTTCCCAATTCTAGTTCTGCAAAGAGAAGCTGTTTCAGAGAGCTGTTCCCCTGCCGTGCTTTCCAGGGCTGCCCTGTTAACCAGACTCAAATTCTACATCCCTCCCTCCCTAGGAGACCACGTCAGTGTTCCTAACTGTTCACATATAAAGTTCTATGTACAAGACTGGTAGGCACTTTAGAACCACGCAGCCTCCGTTAGCTTCAGAGAAACAGAGCTCATCAGAATGTCTAATAAGAATGTTTTTAGCCAAAATCATCTGACAACACAGTAAAACGGCAGTCTGGCATTTCCCCTCCCTGGCCTCTCGGATTGACACCTGTGTTCTAATTCCCAAGGCTGGATCAGCCCTACGTGTCTGAAATCAGAGCCAGAAGGGACACACACACTTAGCTGGCCCCACAATTCAATTCAATGTATGAGTGAGTTCTTTTGTAGAAGGTAAAACAAAAACACTAAGTAATAAGACAAGGTCTTGGCCTCCAGAAAGCTTTATCTGGTGGGAAAGAGTAAATAAATACAAAAAATATGAAACAAGTCACAGAAGGGATATTGCTGTGAATAAAACAGAAATAATTGCAGCTAGCTGACGTTCACTGGTCACCTATAGGTATCACACGCTCAGCCAGGTTCACTTTCACGTATTTAATAATTAATAAAACCACATTAATTATGAGTGCAAATGAAAAATTCTCCCCGTTTTGGGTAATCTGTTCATTAAAAAGTACTTATCCCAGACCTTAATACAAGGATCATAAAATAATATTTTCTTCCCCTTAACTTAACGAACAGTGTAACTACCTAGTAAAATACAAGGAACAAACCATCAATTCCTGACCTGAGTTTTGCAGAGATCCACAGCTGGTCCACACCTCTGGACTAATAATGGTCAAAGAATCGAATAGCCCAGATAAAGTTCTGGGTCATGTCAACCACTCA